TTACATAAATTGTGCAATAACAAAGTATTTAGGCATGTATAAAAAAACGATCGATTGATAGCAACTTTATTGATCAGAGAAAAAAAAATATTCAGACGAAAAGGCGAACGATAAGCATACTATAAGATCAAATAGGGTAAGTATGATCTTTTTGAATACTTTCATTTTAAAGAACTTCTTATGTTTAATGAAATGGTAGCCTCACCCAAACCACCAACAGTCGCAATGTCGGAAGGTAACTAGATTTCTTATTTAGTTTACGATGCGTTCTCGAAATATGTCGTAAAGTTTAAAAAAAGGTTTCTGAGCCGATATGGCTGAAAGAATGTATATGAAAAAAGGCTCTGACTATGTTCAAGAAGAGTTAGTTATATGCAATCGAGATTCAATCCTTCTCATTGTCGATCGGCATTCCTATCCCTATAGATATATAATAAGGTTTGTGATCGAATTGAGAATAAGACAAATGATCAATGTCAGAAGAATGATTGATTGATAAGAACTACGTTCTTAGACAACTAAAAAAATTTAGATTTGCTAAGGCAAGACAAATTTCTCAATCAATACACATAGAAAAGATCTCATTTGAGTCAGTTTCTTCCTTCTAGTTCTTGAAAAATTATAGAATATACCATGATCTGAATAGGTTCTCTTCATGTCTGACGGTGAGCCTTAACCAATGGATGAGTAAATTTTATCTTCTGCAGAGATGTTCTAAATTACTGATACCATGTCTGAGGAGCAACTTGAAAATTCATCATCCATTCACCGATACGTTTTTCATAGAGGATATTCTACTCTAAAAACAAGAGCTATAGTTGCTGAACGAACTAATCAATGAATGATGATTCATCACTGTTTAATAGTACTTGTTAAACACAAGTGTCATTAGGCCAAATGCTTGATATTTCGTCGAGGCTGGAGAAAATATTAGACTATAGTTTCCATGTAATTTCGATTTGCAGTTAATGATAAGTCGACTAAATATTATTTTCAAAAGTCGTATATATTTACTCCTTCAGTAAAAATAAAAACGTCAATAAAGGTGGTAAACAGCAAGCCTTGTCATATTGGTATATTTTTTGCTGGAAATATATCCATTGTCATCTTATGACATTGCCTTTTTGTACCGAAATTTGTTTTAATAGTTCATAAGAAGTTATTCAGAAGTACAAGCTGATGCTTCTAAGTGAAATTATACAAAATTTATGTGAAATGTATAACGAATTGCAGTAGAGAGTACCACTCTTACCGTACAGATATGCATATTCTGCATAATCTCAGAAGTCTCATGGAGTACATGTGATTGCAACAGAATTTTTAAGACATACTTTAAGAACATAGAAACAATCCAATAATTCTTAGAGAATCCTTTCACAAGGAACGAGAAACGAGTGCATTCTACTCTTATAGTAAGTATTAATCTTTAATGCCAGATCGAACTCGTACCCAAATTCTGAAAAACTTAGACATATTCCATGATCTTCAGTCATTATTCAGCATTGAGAATTACTGAATTGTTTCGTTGAATAGCTATTTGGAGTACCCAAAATTCTATCTAATGGTGATAGTGAAAATATTTCTTGCACTGCAAGACTTTACTTAATTTGCTTCCCTTTGGTTTTCTTTTAAAAAAATGAAGAATAAACTTTGACATCCATACGATTACTTGATATTAAAGAAAACAAATACTGCGTTTACTCCGCATGTCTTTGGTTTATATTGACAATTTCGGAGAGTTCTTCGAAGAATGTGGAAGAAACTCAAACGAATATAGTCACATGTGAAATCGAAAATAGAGCTCAATACTTGCTTCGTCTCATAGTATTAATAAAAATGTACACGTGAGAGTTTAACTCTATTATTGAGACTAGTAGAAGCATCCAATACCACTTTGAAGAAACTTCTGATTTACTATAAAATCTTATTTTTTATAGTAAGTGAAATCCCAGTAGTACTTCAGTACTGAATATCAAGTAGCATTTAACCGAAGTAAAGACAATTATGATCGCAACTGAACCCATACATAATACTTCCTTTCAATGCACTGATACGTATTTTCTTTTCTCATCTATTTAGAGGAAACTTCGAAGACTACTCCAATGTCATCGAACGAAAGGCATTTCGTCTGTCCATTTGAGGGTTGCAACAATCGATGTAATCGCCAGCATCCTGATTATAATAATCCTGGTGGTCGTCCTAGTTGTGGTGGTAGTTATGGTAGTAGTGGTCGTGGTTATGGTAATAATGATTTTTATAATTATCATCCTGGTCCTTCTGGTTGTCCTGATCCTAGTTATTATGGTCCTGGTGATCCATGTGAAAAATGCGGGGATCCTGTTCTTACTAGTTATAGTTGCAAACAATGTAATCATAAATATTGCTATACTTGCTGCTTTCAATAAAAAATTTTGTGTAGAAGCTTGAAATAAATTTCATAATAAACTTCTTGAAAACTGTTTCAATTAAGTGGAAATGAGATGCATTGCTGAAAGAATAAATTTACTGGAACTATCAAACTCTTTTCACTATTCATGGCTGAAAACGATATGCCGTATTGAAATCTTCTTGCCAATAATAATGAAATGTTTTTATTTTTTAATCAAAAGAAAGAATGATTCTCTACGAGATCTCCACGAAATAGTAATTTTATTGTCTATGACAGACGCGGAATAGACAGTGGTTCTTTTTTTATTTTTTTTTTCTTTTAGTGCTCTTAGTTGTGCACCTATTATAAAGTTCTTTTTTTGTTTCCTGATCTTTCGTAAACGTGAAATGTCAGATCGTGGGAAAGTCATGAGATGGATAACTTGCTGACTTCGATGTTTGAAGAAATATTGATATGGGTGTGAATATTTCTGAAGTTTAGTTAAGTTTAGAGAAAAATCACTCTCAGTAGTATACAGTACCATCGAAAATCTCACTATGTAGGTACACAGAACGAAGATTTGTGTCAGAGTAAATAATGGTTTCAGTAATATCTATACACAAGTGACGCTCGTCTATGTGACTTGCTGGACTCTTGACTGAATATTCAGCTGTTTCAGTATTGTATACTGCTTCGCCGCCCCCAGCACAACTACACTGTAAAAAAAATTCGTAGAATAATAAACCCTAGTACTTTAGCAAAATCTTCCTAAACTCTTAAAGGGTTTATGCTGGTGTATTAAACTCTTAAAGGGTTTTTGTGCGAAAAGGTTTCTGAGAAAAAGGGTATTTGAAAATAAAAAGGGTTTATGACTAGCGAAGAAGGGTTTATTGTTCTACGCTTTCGTGAAAAGGGTTTATTATTCTACGGCCAATTGTTTATTGTTCTACCCTTTCATGAAAAGGGTTTATTATTCTATGGTCAAGGATTTATTGTTCTACCTTTTCATGAAAAGGGTTTATTATTCTACGATCAATGGTTTATTGTTCTGCCCTTTCATGAAAAGGGTATATTATTCTACGGCCAAGGGTTTATTGTTCTACCTTTTCATGAAAAGGGTATATTATTCTACAGTCAAGGGTTTATTGTTCTACCTTTTCATGAAAAGGGTTTATTATTCTACGGCCAAGGGTTTATTGTTCTACCTTTTCATAAAAAGGGTTTATCATTCTATGATCAAGGGTTTATTGTTCTACCTTTTCATAAAAAGGATTTATCATTTTACGATCAAGGGTTTATTGTTCTACCTTTTCATAAAAAGGGTTTTTTATTTTACGGCCATGGGTTTATTGTTCTACCTTTTCATAAAACGGGTTTATTATTCTACGGTGAAGGGTTGATTGTTCTACCTTCTCATGAAAAGGGTGTTTTATTTTATATTCGAGAATATATCGACATTCCTTTTGATTAAAAGTTTTTGTTCCATGTTCAAAGGGATATTAGTATGCTTTTTCATGAAAAGCTTCTTGTTCTATGATATAAAAAATAACTTTTCTACTTTTGGATGTTGACTACTCTTTGATTATTGTAAAATTTTGGCATCAGCATGACGTACGCGTACTGAGAAGTGCATCATAATGCACTTTACTAACTATTCTATTAACTTTGTTTCCGAACATCAGTCAAATTCTTGATATCAGCAATTTCGATTGGATAATAAAAAGTATATGAATCGTCTTTTATAGCATTTGTGGTACTGATATACTGATATTGAATGTATTGAGAAAAATAAAAAAAAATTATTTTACATAAAAAAATAACTCAGTTCGTATTTGCAGATCTTTTTAAAGTTTTATATTTTGCGACGATTTATTCTAAGGAATCAATTAAAATAATAACAAAAAAAATTTCAAAAAAATAATTATTGTATGCATTAAGATAATTTTGATCGTTGCACATTCTAAAAAATTATTTTCATAGAAAAAAAAAAGATTTTATCGTAATCTTAAATTAAAATTCAATTTTATGTACGATGTTAATAAATAAATTAAATAAAGATGAAAAGTAGTATTCTTAAAAAAGATAAATATTTTCAATTAATTTTTTTTCTTGTATAAAAATGTTAAAGCGAATAAATATAAATGCATTTCAGCTTAAATTATTATAAAATAAATACTTGTTACGAAACCTATTTTTTAACATTAAACTTAAAATTAAATTAAAATTATTTATTATTTATATTTGACTTGTATTAAATTAAAGTAAAGCAAATTTATATTTCTTTCATTAAGATTTTTTCTCAAAAACACTTGGTGAACGTAAAACTATTTTGTTCTAATCGGAACAAATATAAAGGACCCCGCCCATTAAGAGGTCAAATCTGCCACTCCATTAAGGTGCTATTTTTATAGCATAGTTTTGTAGGTGGGTGGGGCGTGGGGTATGGGTGTGGGTGGGGTGGGGGGGGGGGGGGGGGGGGGTGTGGGTGTGGATGTGGATGTGGGTGTGGGGTGTGGGTGTGGGTGTGTGTGTGGGTGGGTGTGGGTGTGGGTGTGGGTGTGGGTGTGGGTGTGTGGGTGTGGGTGTGAGTGTGTGGGTGTGGGTGTGGGTGTAACTGAAAGGACAACACCTACACCCCACACCCACCCTGACCCCACCCACACCCACACCCACACCCACCCACACCCCACCCACACCCACACCCACACCCACACCCACTCACACCCACACCCCACGCCCACACCCACCTACACCCACCTACACCCACCTACACCCACCTACACCCACACCCACCCACACCCACCCACACCCCACCCACACCCATACCCCACGCCCCACCCACCTACACCCACCTACACCCACACCCCACCCATACCCACACCCACACCCCACCAAAATTATCAAAATAACCGTTGTTTCTAGCCTAAATCTCAGATCAATGTCCATGTAAATGTTTAAAAGATCTTTAAAAAGTCTTCTAGGATTTCGGCAGAAGTTCTCCGTCTGTTTATACAAACATTCAATCATGATCAGGATAAAATTCTTCTATACTTCAAAATTCTGTCGAGTTTTGAATGAAATATGATAAAAATCTGGAAAAATCCTCCTATTTACTTCTGCTAAGATTTTACTCAACATTGAATATTTGAAATTGATGTTGTTACCTAAAGATTTACAAATCTGCATTAGATCTTGAATAAAAACCAGCTAAAATCTTAATGAAATCGCGAAAAAACCAA